AAGAGATAAATAAAAATTGTGATTGGAAAGAAAAATGAAAATGAATTGTCAGAAATTGATATGAAAAATTAAAACGAAATTTTTGGGGGAATTATGTACTTCTTTTTAAATGTTAATTATAAATAATTTTCTTCTAATTATTCCATTCGAATTAAGATAAAGAAATAAAAACATTTTTCAATTTAAAAAATTCAAAAGAAAATTTGAGAAAAAATTTTATGCAAACATTTTAAATATTTAATTTTTATTACCATTTTGCGAAAACTTTTGAATAATTTCACATTCATATTATTAAAATTGTTGTTCTTCAACATTTATTTACTTTTATCAATCAAATACATTTTCCTTCTGTTCATAAAATTCTAAATCGGTAACCATACGTATCCGTCGGATTTTTAAAAAAACACTGCCCATATCACTATTTGCTGTAATTCTTTTCGGCTCTTATATACATAAGATAAAACGGCGAATTGTGTTGGTCATCGAAAATCTAAAAACCATAGAGGGAAATTGACTAAACATTAAATAAATTTAAATAAATTTGCATCTTGCAAACGACTTCCGCGTTTTTAAAAGCGGAAGCGTAAGTCGATTCTCCATCCCTATTTTATTGCACGCATTTTATAATAATATGCACAATGCTAAATCAATTTAAAATTTTAAAAATTAACTTCCTCTTCATCTCCTCCCCACTCATTTCCTTACCCTTTATATGCTCGTCCTCTTCCTTCTTCACATTAATTTATTTATTTACTTCAATTTTATTCGAGAATGTTACCGGGGCAAGATTCCAGCCCTATTAAAAAAATTTAATAGGGCTGGAATTAATTAAAAACTTCTTCAAATGCTAACTGGTTCCAATCTAGAGCTTTATTTATTTTTAATTTAATTTTAAAAATAATTTTTTTAGATTTTCAATTCATTATAATGAATTTTAATTCAACGAGAATTAAATTATTTATTTTTTTAATTTTTGCATTTGTTGGTAAAATTATGCCAAAATGTGTTAGAGAACAATGTAAATAATTAATTAAATATTTTTTAATATTTTTTAATTTAGTTTCTCATGAAATTCTATATTTGGCTGATGGGCAATATTATAGTCACTATGTTCTGGCTGTAAGTTTAAATTAAATTAATTTTAATAATTTATTTTTATGTTTTAATACATAAATTGGTTAGGTTTAAAAAATCATAACTTTATTAATTTTTAACTAAAAATTTTGAAATTTGGAGGGTAGATAGGTAACACTATAAGCTAGCCAAATTTCATGAGGCGAAAAGCAATTTTGTCAAAGTTAAAAATTTTTTAATTTTATAATTAATTTTTTCAGAGAGAAATGGCAAAGATTTTGAATGAAAATTATTGCGTGGTAAGTTAATTTAATTAAAATTAATTAAAATTAAATTATAGACATTTTTAATTGCAACGTACGAAGGAAAAAATACTCATAATGTTAATCTTGAACAAGAAGTTCAAAATCTTTTAAGCGAAGATATTAAAGCTATACTTCTTCCAATTGATCAAGAATATGAAAATATTAAATTTTATACTAGTGGAGTTGGTCGACTTCCAAGCAATTGGGATCAAGAAAGTATAACAACTAATTTGGATATTTATTGGAAAATGACTAAATGTAGATCAGTTACATTTTTTCAAAGTAAGAGGAATTTTTTAGAATTATTTTTAATAAAATTTATTATTTAGCTGTGATAAAAAATGTTCCTGTTTATGTGGATAATCGTTATTATGGAATATTTGAATGGCTTAAACATCAAAATTATCAATTAGGAATAGCAGAAATAGGTTCAATAACATCAGGATTTGCCTTATTTAATGAATTAGGAATTGAAAAAACAATTGCAACTACAGCAACTCCTGCTATACCTGTTTTTTATCATTTTTTAGGATTAAAAATTCCTATTGATGTACCTGGTTAGTTATTTATTTTTTTAATTTTTAAATTAAATCCACATGTTAAATCTTAAATTAAAATAATTTAATTTTAAATTTTTAAGAGCATTATTCTGCATCGAAAGGTGATGGATTAAGAAATGCTGAAATTCGTAAACCTGGAAGTGCTCGACAAATTCAAAATAATAATAATTATAATGAATTAATTAGAAAATTTACTGAAATATATGATACCGAATATGAACAAAATTATAATGTTCAATTGATAAATTCATCAGCAATGCCTCTTAAACCTTTTAAATCACCTAGAGCTTTATTTTCTAATGTTAAATATTTTTTGGTTAATCATTCTGAACTTGCTGCATATCCTAGAGATTTAAATAATAAAATTAAATTTATTGGAGGAATTGCAATTGGTGATCAAATGTTAAAGAATTTTCAAGCTAAAGCTTTAAATAATGATTATTTGGCAGATGGTGCTTGGAATAATAATGTATAAAATTTATTTTTTAACCAAAAATTTTGAAATTTAAAACATTAATAGCTAATACTATAAGGGTCATTTGTGCCAAATTTCATTAAATTTGGTTCTATATTGGCAAAGTTATAAGTTCACAAATATCATGTACTGCTCCAAAATGTTGATTAAAAATTCTCTTATTTAATATAATTTTTTTATTTTTTAGGTAAAATGTGTTGGTTTTCTTAGTATTGGAACGCTTGCATCTTTTAATGGAATAGATCAAGAAAAGTTAAACACAATGTATCGTGCACTTGGCAAACACCCCGAATGTCATTTTTTGATAAGAATTGATGAAGCACATTTTCCTAATGATCAACAAAAAAGAAATTTTAAATTAAACAATGTTGAATTTATTAATAAAAATATTCCTCAACAAGAAATTTTGGGTTAGATTTTTTATATTTATTAAAAAATATTTATGGCACGATTTTTTGGCATTTTTATTTTTTAAAAATTATTTAATAATTTTATAAATTAATAATTAATTTATTTATTTATTTAATTATAAAGCCCAGAAAAATACAAAAATTGCTATAATACATTGTGGACAGAATAGTTTAACTGAGGTAATTAATTACATAAATTTATTTTTTAAATTAAAATAATTAAACCAAAGGGTGTTGGTTTAACTAAAATTAAAAAATTAATTTCAATTTATTTTAAAATTAAAAAAAGGCTTTATATGCTGGTGTTCCAGTAATTTGTATTCCTTTACTTGGTGATCAACGTTATAATGCTTCAGTTGTTGAATATCTTCAAGTTGGTATTTGGGTTCAAGCTCCTCATTTTCATCAACAATTTGAGGATGCTTTGAATAAAATATTAAAAAAACGGTTAATATAATATAAAAAATTAATTAATTTAAATATTTTACAGAAATGCTTGGAATAAAATATTTAAAAAACGGTTAATTTAATATAAAAAATTAATTAAAATATTTTACAGAATTAATTATAAACAAAATGTTAAAAAACTTGCTAGAAGGCTTAATGATCCTAATCGTGATACATCAAAAGAAATATTTCTTCAAGCAGTACATGATGCATTAAATGTTGATGATGAAGCTTCTTCTTCTGTTTATAATGAAGATATTCAATTTGAATATAAATTGTATGTTTTTTAAATTAATTAAATTAATTTTTATTTACTTTTTAGTGGAAGAAACTTGTGAGACGATGTTGAGTAAATTCGAATTTTTTATTTAAAAAAATTATTTTTGCTCTATTTGGATGTTATATTTTGAGCAAAATATCTTTTTAAATCTTTCCTTTCTATTTTAAAATTTTTTTCTTTTTCTATTTTATGATTTAAAAAATTTTTTAAATGAAGTATAAAAATTCTTTCTAGTAATTAAATTAATTTTTAAACACAAAATAGCAAACTTATCTTCTCTTAAGACCTCTAGCTTTTTAAATAATGTTCAGATCAATTTGATCCAATTATTAAAAATAATCAACTTTTCAAGAGCTTTAGAATGATATATTATTCGTTTAAATCGGTTGAATAATAAAAAAAGATGATTAAACAAATACCGCTTAATAATGAGAGAAAAACAATTTACTCTCTGATCTCTAACCTGACTTGATAATTAAAAATAAAAGATGATAAGTTTAAAAAATCATAACTTTATTAATTTTAAACTAAAAATTCTGAAATTTGGAGAGTTGTTAGCTAACACTATAACAGGGCTGGGCGAAATCAAAAAATAAAACGCGAAATGCGGAATGCTAAACTTTTCGCGCCAAAAAATGTGAAAAATCCGAAAGATGCGAAACGCAAAAATGCGAAATTAGTTAAAAAATTATAGAAAAATTTTGGAATTAGTATAGTATACCGGAGGCAAAATTTCGATAAGAAACACAACCATTCGATTTGTCTCGGCGAGCTGAGTCGAACGATACCACTCACTCTTTACAGAAAAGATATTTCTTTATCTTAACTTTCTGTCTTCTATTCAATAAATTGAATAGGAAAAAATTAAATTAACCTGAACACCTAAATTTAAAATAAATACACAACTTCTTTCTAATTCTTTTATTATCAAAACTTTCTTTTAAATAAGGGAAACACAAAAGCCTGCAATGATTTAATGGGAGGGTTTGTAAAGAAAAAGTGAATGGAAGAATGAAGAAGTGAATTTTTGGGGTTCAGGCTTTTGTTTTAAAGCAAATTTGTGGAATGCAAATTTTTTAAATGATCAACTCAAGAATGAGGTTAAATCAATTTTTGATTGAATTTCAATTATATTTTCAGTGGCAGACAACAATAGATAAAACAATAACACTGTTTTTATATGAATCTGTCTTTTTATAAAATTTATTTGTTCCATTTTTAACTAGGTTCCATTTTTAACTTCCACTTTTAACTGTTTATTCCTTTTATCGATTTACGCAAAAAATCGAAAAATAAAAAGAAGAAAATGAAATAAATAGTTTTTTTTTCCAACAAAAATAAACCAACGATTAAACTCTCTATTTTATCCATAATACAATTTGTCTGTTTTAAATAATAAAAATTAGGTTATAATTTAGATTTCATCAATTTTTTGTTTTCGACATTAAAATGTTTACTCTACCACTCGAAATTCAACTTCGGATATTAAAATATCTTAATTTCAACGAATTATTCGCTGTTAAACAAACTAATTCTTATTTTTACAATTTAATTAGTAAATATGAGGGGGAATTGGCACGAATGAAATTTTTCAACCTCTCAATAGTAAATAGGTATTTATTAAATAACTTTTCAATTTGTTAGATTGATGCAAACCAAAAGCTAGATTCATATAAATCTATCGATCTTCAATCTGGAGCTTTTGAATTTACCTTAAATGATGAACTTAGAAAGAAGGTTAAATTAATTTTGAATTAATTAAATTATATCTATTTTCCAGTGGCAAACGGCAATAGGCAAATCAATTCCGGTGTTTATAGGCGAGTATGATATAGAACCGCTTCTTTGTATGGCTACAGGTTTTAAATATTTGTCTACAAACTAATAATTTAATAATTAGGAACATGAACTTAGTCAATTATAAACAAATTAGAAATAATTATCCCGAAAATTCTTTAATTCGTTTTTATATTTAGCGGACAATCATTGTTGTTATTATCTTTTAAAATTGCCAACATTTCCAATAAACATTGAAGAAATGATTATCGTTCGTTGTTGGTTAGAACGACTTTTTAAATGTTCCTTTGATCATTGCATTTTTAATAAAATTGTGTTTAATCCAGAAATGCTTAATATATTATTTGAGACACCACCTAAATTTCACGTTGATATACCATCTCTGTCTCCTAACAAAAACACATTTGAAAACATGATGGACTTCATTTTAAATCACTTAGCAAATACCAGCTTTCTCGCAATTAAATTTATATATGTTGACAATGCAGAGCAATATATAAATATTTTATTCAATATTTTAATAAATGAAGGAGGTAAATTTCCACGAATAAGTTTAAGACGTGGCAAGTTAACAAGGCTTTATGAGTGCATTGTAGAAGTAAATTTTATAAACAGGGAACAGATTTATATGGATTTCCATATTTTTTCCTGGCCTAGTTGGGTTCTGAAGCGTCCAATAAGCATAGTTTCAGCTAGAGATCGGTAAAATCGCATTTACAGGATCCTGTATCAGGACTGGGTTTTAAAATTTCGAACATTAACTTGCTACTGCATAGCCTTTTCGGTCCATATGTATTTGATACATATTTTGGATTTTAGTCCATATTGCAGTCCATATTTTATGATTTCTATTCAATATTATATGTCCTATTTTTCGATTGATAGTCTATATAAATCTGTTCCCTAGGTATCAATAAGTCAAAAATAAATTTAAATTTTAGTATATAACAACAACAAAAGACTTTTCAAAAATGATTGCTAAAATTGAGTTAAATTATATGAGATTCCCAAATTTCAAATTACCAGAAAGAGCCGAAAATGTTGAAATTGGGGAATTAGATGTTTTTGATAAAAGATATACAAGATACGAAATTGCTAATATGTATGATCCAAGAATGAAATTTGCATTTACGATTGAATACAAGAAAGGATCAATTTCTGGCATCGATATCACTAAAATGAATGTCTAGAATTTGAAAGGACGCAAACGAAATTTTATTTATTGAAATAAAAAATGTTTAAAAATTTTTTAAATTCACTTTTGATAAAATTTTTAAGTTTATAAAATTTAATTGCAACATTTTTAACACGATCAGTAATTAATTCTTGATTATTTTTTGTTTTTCGTAATTTATTTCATCATTTTTAGCAAGTTGAAGCTAATTTACTTAAAAATATTTTAAATCACATTTTAATTTTTATATTTGTTTTTTTGACCATTATTTTTTTAATTTCCGGATATACTGTTTTTAAGGTTCCCTTTTCTATATTTTTTCATTTTATTTTTGCTTTTTCATTTTTTTGAATATTTATTGATAATAAAAAATATTATTTCTTTTTAATGTGTTTATTCTGACCATTTTCTCGTAGGATGAGAGAATTTATCGTGAGTCACCAGACTGGATGAATGTAATTCATCCAATCTATCACTTTATAAAAGGCCCAAAGTCACTTTATAAAAGGCCCAAAAGTCACTTTATAAAGCATAAATAAAAGGGAAAAATAAACATAAAAAATGGAACCCTAAAACTTAGCATACAGTGGCGGAAATTTACTTAGGGAAAGGGTAAACTCCATGTAATTCCGTTCATTTTTATCCGATCTGGCAGATCTAAATTTTAAAAAATAGCTTAATTCCTATCTTAGTTGACATGTTTCAGCGTTTTTCAAAATTCTGATAATTTCGAAAACTTTTCGACCGGTCTAACAGGTACTACATTTTCGACTTTTCGGAGAAATTTTTTTGAAGTCTGTAAATTTTATATGTGATTCTCCCAAAGATTCTGAATACAATGCTAAAAACCGCATCCAAATCGGTCGAAATTCTATAGAGTTATGAATTTTTGAAAATCGAAAAAACACCCATTTTTGCAAAAAAATCGACAAAAAATGGCAAAAATGGGTGTTTTTTCGATTTTCAAAAATTCATAACTCTATAGAATTTCGACCGATTTGGATGCGGTTTTTAGCATTGTATTCAGAATCTTTGGGAGAATCACATATAAAATTTACAGACTTCAAAAAAATTTCTCCGAAAAGTCGAAAATGTAGTACCTGTTAGACCGGTCGAAAAGTTTTCGAAATTATCAGAATTTTGAAAAACGCTGAAACATGTCAACTAAGATAGGAATTAAGCTATTTTTTAAAATTTAGATCTGCCAGATCGGATAAAAATGAACGGAATTACATGGAGTTTACCCTTTCCCTAAGTAAATTTCCGCCACTGTATACCCATTTTAGGAATAATATCTTAAATCTATATTTTTTTTTAGATAATTAACAATGTTTTCTCTTCCAACCGAAACAAAACTCGATGTATTAAAATGTCTCAATTTTGATCAATTAACTTCTTTTAAATTGACAAATTTTTATTTTTACAATTTAATTAATAAATATGAGGGAGAATTGTGCTTTCGAATGAAATTTAAACAGATCTCAATAGTTAATATGTATTAACTAAAAAATCTTTTTAATTGAATTTCAGGAGGGTGATATTCAAAACTTGGATTCATATAAAGTTATTGAACCCGAATCTAGATTTGTTAAATATAATTTAAATTGTCAACGTAATAGCGAGGTTAAAAATTAAATGGTTCTTTTAGCATCCAAAAATTTTTCAGTTTTTTCGGTGGCCGACAGCTTTAGACAGATTCAATCCCTTATTTTTATATAATTCTGCAATCTTTTCTGAGCACAGAAGATTTTCTAATTATCGCAGAGACTGTTTTATTTGTATTAAGAGAACCTTTGACTATTTATTGGACAATGAGCCTCGTTATTTTATTTTAAAATTGCCAACCTTCCCAAAAGATTTTGAACGAAAAATTATTCGTTACTGTTTGGAACAACTTTTTAATTGTATTTTTGAATATGCCTTATTTGGTGAAATTGTGTTTAACCCGGAAATGATCAATTTGTTATTTGATAACGATAAAGCAATTCCTCTTCAATTTAACATTCAAACCCCATATCTATTTCCTAGCGGCAACGAAAGATTTGATAATATTTGGAATTTCGTTTCAAATCATTTGACAACTTCTAAATGTCTTATCATCAATGTGGATAACATCCATTCCCTATACGCGGAGCGTAAATTATTCAATATTTTAACAACTGAAGGAAGTAAATTACCAGAAATTAAGTTAATAAATGTTAGGGTAAAATGGTTATATAATGCTATTGTTGAAGTAAGTTATCTATGTGAAATTTTTTTCTTCTCCTTGATAAGTTAAGCTTATTCGGATGTTTCTGTCCTTTATAAATATCAACTGTCTCGAATTTTAGGCATGCGAAATAAATACTTAACTTTATTTACAAATATGTTAAAAATATATTTAAGCATATAACAACATCCAAAGACCTCTCAAAAGTGGTGGATAATATTTTTTTACAATTTTCTTCACCTCCAAAATTTGAAATAAGTAACAAAGCAGAAATGGTTGAAATTAAACAGTTAGATGGATTTAAATATACAAAATTCCAAATTTTTAATATTCACAATACAAGGGTTAGATTCGCAGTTTGCACTGATGAATTGTCTTTTTGTGTTAGAATCAGAAAAATTAAAGAGTAGAATTCGGGCAAAATTGAGGTCTGCCTTTATATAGAAATAAATAAATGGGTACTTTGTTCATAAGCCACCCCCACTCCTATTTGAGTCTCAGATTAATTTTCCCTCTTTGCTGTCAATCATTTATTTTCCTTCTTTCTTAATGCCAATCATTTTCTTCCCTCAAATATAGGACACCCAAAAGGGCGCGCGGCCATAACGGCGCAAAGCCATAACTTGCTTCAAGATTTTCTGACCTTACCAAAACTAATATTAAACGATTCCTCACATCGAGCTAAAGAGTTTGGTACCAAAAATGACAAGGGTTAAAAACATTCCAGCAAGTTATGGCTTTGCGCCGTTCGGGCCGACGCCCTTTTGGGTGTCCTATATTTGAGAGGAGAAAATGATTGGCATTAAAAAAAGGAAAAATAAATGATTGACAGCAAAGAAGGAAAATTAATCTGAGACTCAAATAGGAGTGGGGGGTGGCTTATGAACAAAGTACATACCAATAAATGTTTATTTGGATTAATTAATTTTTATTTTTATAAAATAAATATCGTTTCTTTATTGATAATTTGATTAATAAATTTTTTACAATTTTTAAAAATTAGCAAAAAATGAAATATAAATTAATTTAATTTTTAGCAAAAATTTTAAAAACTTGGCAAAATTTTTTTAATTAATTTATTTTTAAATTTTTGTGTTTGCAAAAATGAATTAATAAATTTTATTTCCTTATTTAAAAAATTATTTTTAGAATTAATTAATGCCAGTTATATAAACAAATAATTTTAATTTTGGGTATTTATGACGTTTGCGGTTATTTTAGTTTTTGTATTTGGTAAATTAAGTGGAGGTATATTTCTATGATTTTCTCTAAATTTTTTAAAATTTAATATGGTTGTCAATAAAATTTTTTTGTTTAAGTGACAAAAATAGAAAAAAATAAAATATAATATTGGAAGTATAATTTTTTTGGGATTTGCAAAAAAATTAAAAAGATGAGTATATAAAAAGTTAAAGTAAAAAGTAAAAACAATTAATTAATTTAAATAAAAATATTATTTTGAAAATTTATTAAAGTTTTCAAAATTTGTTTAAAAAATTATTGCCCAAAATGGCTCGTTAGTTAAAGAGAGATTATTTGGTCCTAAAAGTCCTGAATAGCCTTGATGAAAATAAAATCAGAAAGGAAATCCCCTGAATTCAGTTCATTTGCCGTCAATCAACCTTATCCAGAAAATAGCAAAAGAATGGATATAAGTAAATTCTGAGAGCTTCCAAACAGGATTATTAGCAGCTCGTCCACCAACGACATCTTTTAGATTTTAGGAAACTTTACTGGCCTTACAATATAAAATCCATCTAAAAATTACAAAAAATTATTTTATTTTTTTAGATTTTTAATTTTAACAGAATGCAAATTAAAAATATTTTTATTTTATTTTTATTTATTTCAAC